AAGAGTGCAGAAGGAGAAGGTGGAGGGGGAGGGGGGAGGGGGATATCGTACGCTAGATTCTTCTCGAGAGCTCTCGTCGACATGGTGTGTTTATCGGAAATATAAATCAACGGGTATTTAAAATCCGACGATTTCACTCCGATCAAGTAAGTAAGTAAGCAAGCAAGCAAGCAAGAAAGCAAGTAACTTCGATGACGACGACGAGAATCCATCTTCTTATTCTTATTCTTTTTCTTTTTCTTCTTCTTCTTCCTCTTCCTCTTTCATTTCTAATACCAATTATTAATAATATCCTTAGAGACCTCAAAATTATTTCTCGATACGTTTTTCGTTTACGTATTTTATATTAAAAGATGAAATTGCATGATTTAATGTTTTGTTAACTTTTCTTTATCAGTTAATAATGGTTTTGTTTTTATAACACGAACGTGTGTTGATTTAATTTGATTAAATTTGAATGATCGTTTGTGTTTCCTCTTGGAAAACTATGGAATAAGGCAATCGTTCAGTTCGGTGCCCGATCCAGCTCTCAATAAGAGATCTTCTTTTTTATTACGAGACTACCGAGAGAAAGTAGTAGTTAAGCAATTTATTTTAGAAACGTCCAACTACGTCGTCGTGTTAACCATCGTCCTAACAGAATAAGAGATAATATATACATATATATATATACATATATATATATACACGTTGCAAATAATATTTTACCAAGGAGGTATTTTCGCGTTAACGCGATTTGATTACAAGTTCATAAATATTTTGTCATACTTTCAAGATAAAAACGTCGGCGAAGGCTCTGCTTGAAAATCATAAAACTAAGCGCGTTTTCGTTCGTTCGTTCGTTCGTTCTTTCATTTGTTTCGACCTAAACGATTAACCGCAGACTTAAAAATTGTGTGCAAATAATTTTGAATCGGAAAGAAGAAAAGAGGAAAAGATGAAAATAAATTCAAACGTTTTTCGAGTTGCGCATTAATTATTTTGTTTGTTGCATTCCGTGATAGAGAGAAAGATATTGATAAAAGAATTTACCATAAGCGAAATACGCTAAGTGGGGTATTTTTGGTCCGTCTATCGAGTAACCTCCCTTCCTCCCTTGCGACCCCTCGTCTTTCATACATGGTTATGCATATGTTCCTCCCCAACCACCTAAAAACAATACGGACATCATTAAATTTCACACGAGACGTTTAACCGGCAAATTTGTTAACTACAACAATTGTCGAACGACGCGCGCAATCGCGTTTTCTCTATTTTCAACATTTTCTTTTTCTCTTCGATATTTGAATATGAATTTTATTGTTAAACAAAAAAGACAAAAAAAAAATAGAAATTTAATCGCATTTTGCATAACCATGTTTGAAGGAAAAATCTAATAGAAGGATAAAGAGAAAAAAAAAGAAAAAAAAAAGAAAGAAGAATAAAATCAAGGGTAAGAGGGGAGGGAAAGAAGACAGACGCAGCAAACAGATTTAAGTTCGTCGTCATCGTCGTCGTTTAAATTAATGTTCCTGCATACATTCCGATAGAAATCGATTAAAAAAAAAATTTGCGCTAACACTTTTAATCTTCGTGCGCTGAAAGAAAGATAAAAAAAGGAAAGAAGAAGAAGAAGAAAGAAAAAAAAAAGAAAATAAATCATGTAGGATATCAATTCGTAGTCGGACGAAAGTCAGAATGCGAGTTAACAGAAATCCCGTAAACGAGGATCGCATATCGACGACTTTCTTGTAATACCTCTGCAATATTGCAATCACCGTTACTCCATCCAAAGACTCCCACGTATACCCTACGTGATCGCTTTTACGTGCATCGTTACGCCAAGCCATTTAACGTCGGCGAACCTGGGGCTTTGAATGTTTTTTTTTTGTTTTTTTTTTCCAGGCGTAATTCGCCGAAAAAAAAAAAAACACGATACCGTCCGCCACAGATTTATGTTTTGTTAATTTTTAATTTTTATTTGTTTTTTTTTCTTTGTTTTTTTCTTCTGTATCTTTATCAAAGCAAAAACTTTCCTTCTTACTATGTACAATCTTGTCCCTTCCGGTTTGTAACAGCAAGCGTAGTAGTGAGTACACAACGCGTACTTACTTTAAGTAGTTGTCCATTTGCCGGCATTAAAGTCTTCGAGCGACGCTCGGCTAAATAGAAACCCCGTTTTCTCGCTTCATTTTTCTACTATCATATTTTATCGTTTTTTAATATATCGAATTTCATATTACTAATATTCATATTGTTTAGAGAGAGAGAGAGAGAGAGAGATTTTGTTTATTTATTTAATTATTATTATTATTTTTATTAATGTATACACATATATATATATACGAATTAATTTATTTTTGGAATTAAAAATCGGCGTTTACGGCCACAAGAGGATTCTTTTTTAAAGAAAAAGAAAAATTTCTTTTAACCGACCCTATCATCGTCTCGATGTTACTGATTAAAAAAAAAATAAAAGGGAACGTTTCGATAAGAGAGATAAGCGAATAGACGGAGAGAGACACGCGAATAATTTTCTATTATAATCCGAAACGTACCTTGTTGAAAGTAGTTGGCTTTTCGCAGAAAGACGCAGACCAAGGCCATAAGTTGCAACTGAGAAAGTCTCTGGCGTGTCGAGGGCGGTAGCGGGAGTAGATCACGTAGATTCGCGATTTCGGCATTTATCAGGTCCCTTCGTAGTTTGCTGGCGCCTTTCGTCGATTTGCTCGCATCTATCCTTCAAGCACACATCGATGCGTTACCACTAAACATACGTTCGATCACCTACCGACTGACCATTCCCATTTTTACCCTCCCCCCTAAACCGATAACCTTCTCCCCTACTTTTAATCTCATCCTTTTTATCATCCCGTATTTCGATTTACGATTTGTTCAAATTCATACTTGCGCAACTCATACCTAATTACGCACGTTTCGATTATCTGATCCTATTTTATTGTCACCTTGTATCATTTCCGAATAGATAGACAAACCTAAAAAGAAAGATTCAACACTATCGCGCGTAAAGATCATTCATAAAAAAAAAAACCTCCCTTCAACTATTATGAACAAAAATCAATGAAGTTCTTAAACGATAACGCAAAGATCTCTATAAACCACATAAAGATTCATAGATCATTGATTCTTCTTATCGATAGATAAGAAGATATATTTTTTTCTAGGATGAGAAAATAAGATATTCTAGATATATAATACGATTATTAATATCGGACTTACCGATTGAACATATTTTGGTGGCCAGGAGGACATTAGCTGTTGATCAGCGGTAGACGTCGAGCGGGACATCCGGGTCGGCAGGTTCTCGCGAAACTGCAGCTACGATCTAACATCCGGGTCATAACGCGCTACTACACTGAACACGTGGATACTGGCGGAGGCTGCATCTCCTACCTCCTCCTCACCATTACCACCTCCACCAACACCTCCACCACCACCAACAGTATTACTACTACCACCACTGGGTAGACCACCTCCACCTCCTCTTCCTCTTTCACTCTTCTTCCACCCGCATAAGCCATTGCGCTCTGCTGTCATCTCTCTTTCTTTCTCTTTCTATCCTTCTTTGTCTCTAGGTTCAAAGCTGTTTCCTTTCATTCTCTTTCTCTCTCTAACTCTTTTCTTCGCAACTCCCTCCCCCTCCCTTTGTTGGGTCACGATCGAGCAGTCATGTTCTTTTACCACCGCCATCGCGATGTGCTAGTACCACCACCACCACCACCACCACCACCACTACGACTACGACTACGACTACCACCACCATCATCATCATCATCATCATCATCATCATCATCATCAGCATCTACGGCAGCAACACACCACCAGGCATCATCATCACCACCACCACCACTACTACTACTACTACTACCACTAGCATCATCGCCGTTACCACCTCGGCTACCAGTAATACCTCTTCTTCTCTGCGTGCGGTTTTGCGCCCGGTACCTCCCAACTGCCAGGACATTTTTGGCGGTCTCCTGCGAAAGTCTTTCAGTAGCCGTCACTATTACGTAACCGCGATGTAATCACCTTGGCAGAATACATTCTTCTCTTCGTATTATTCTTCTTATTCTTATTCTTATTCTTCTTGTTTTTATTTTTGCATTTTTCCATTTGTGTTTTTTCAATACTAGGGGGTCCTGTTTAGGAGTCCCATGTTTAGGAGAACGTTTATAATATTTAGACTGGTACATTGAGTTTAATAAAATGTAAATATGAATCATTTTGTTGAATTATAAATTGATCGTCACGCGTTGAAAATGTTCTTATCAAATTTTCGAGTTCTGTTTGGATTATTACGAAATTTATTTCACAGATTACAGGACGTGCATTTAAGGTTGCATCGTAAAGGGGAAACAATGTTTATTTCGACTATGTCATGCTGATAAAATACGATTCATTGCATGTTTATTTGATTATTTATTATCATACGAAATCAATGTAATCGAAAGTTCATTGTTAGTATTAATTATTATGGGGCATCAGTGAGATTTTATTTATACAAATATTACATTATAAATACATTTTGCGTAACTCGTTATCATACATTATGTTCAAATCGAATACGATCGTGTATATTTTATAGAATTGCATACTATCGCAACTTACGAGTATAATTATTTCTATAGATTCTAAAAATATCTCCTAGAAATACACGGGTGTATGTATTTGCGTGTATTGCCATGCATGTATTGGGTTTGCTAGCGATCGAACAATTTCTTTCTAAATAAAACTAAAGATTTATGTTAAATAATAATATTAATAATAATTATAATAATAATAATAATAATAATATACGCATTTAACATAAGGCAAGGAAATTATTCGTATTTTTTAATATGATTGAAATTTTATAT